CCCTTGCTGATTTTGCAGGTTTGCCCACTTACAAAGAATGCTTATTTTTCCTCATCAGATGGTTATCAATTTTTATAAATTCATATGATGTGATTTTCTGGAATTTTCTTTGGGATTCTGTCTTTCACTGTTAGAATGTACATATGATTAAAGTTATAGATCGTTGCATTCTTTGTAAGTGGGCAAACCTGCAAAATCAGCAAGGGCTCAAATACTTATTTCCCCCACTGTACTTTAACTTCTGAGTTAATTTCTGATTTGTAAGTGCCTTGTTTCCCCCCCGGCAGTCGGTGGAAAACCTTCCGACAGTGTTTGGCAGCAACAATAAGGCCCAAACCGCCGCCAAGACCGTCTTTGACCTGGCCCATCGCCATGGCGACATCCTGAGGGAGGGCTGGAAGAACATCATGGAGTCCATGCTGCAGCTGTTCAGGGCCGAGCTCCTGCCCAAAGCCATGCTGGAGGTCAGGGATCCCTCTGTGAAAGCCCTATTTAGCGACTATCTGCTGCCCCCTACTGGCAGCTGCTCAAACTCTGGCTTTGTCCCCCTAGGTGGAAGATTTTGTGGAGCCCAATGGAAAGATTTCTCTTCAGAGAGAGGAAACCCCCTCAAACCGGTAATAGGGTCTCATCCACCTTCTAAATACATGGCAATAAAAATGTTATTATTTTATGTAATGTTCATATTATAATAATTTTGTGTATGTATATATACAGTGGGGGAAATAAGTATTTGAGCCCTTGCTGATTTAGCAGGTTTGCCCACTTACAAAGAATGCAACGATCTATAACTTTAATCATATGTACATTCTAACAGTGAAAGACAGAATCCCAAAGAAAATTCCAGAAAATCACATCATATGAATTTATAAAAATTGATAACCATCTGATGGGGAAAAATAAGCATTCTTTGTAAGTGGGCAAACCTGTAAAATCAGCAAGGGCTCAAATACTTATTTCCCCCACTGTATATATAATAATAATATAATATATATATATATGTATATATATATTATTATATTATTAGTCCTTTTTTTTTCATTCGTCCTGCCAGTTTACTTTAGTTTTCTCTTCAACAGCTTTTAGAATAGGCACAAATAAGGGTCACTAGACCAGTGTTTTTCAACCTTTTTTGAGCCAAGGTAAATTTTTTCATAGAAAAAATCACAAGGCACACCACCAACCAAAAATGTCAAACAAATCTGTAGCCGCCTAATACTATAGTTATTCTTATTTTATTCTTATCTTAAGTGTCTTGAATAGGAATCAAATAAATACAAAAATGTATTTTTATCATATTTTATATTTCTTCTTTCAAATTGCACTTAACATGTCCACTTCAATATACAAAATTACATACAAAATCTAGTCATAAGGAATTATTACATGATTACTCCACCAGTCACTAGAACAGCACAGACACTCAAAAATGGCATATTATTTTTGCAGATAATTAATTCCTTATCAAAAAGTCTTTTTAGACCAATTAGGTGAAATAGGATGATTTTCTACACTAGTGTACCGAGGACCAGTGGTTGAAAAACACTGCACTAGAGGGCCCTCGGCCCGATAGCAGAGGACAGATGTGTCTTATTTATGATTGTGTCTTATTTGTGATTGTATCTTATTTGCGTTGTGTGTCTTATTTGTGTTGTGTGTCGTGTTAGTGGCGAGTCGGCCGTGTTGAGTTTCGTTAGCTGGCTGACACTGAGCGCGCCCGAACAGTCGGGACTCCGGGGGCCGTCCACCGAAAACCAGGAAGCAAAGCAGGCCGCCATCCTCTGCATCAAGGTACATCTATCAATCAATCAATCAATCAATCAATCAATCAATCAATCAATCAATCACTTTATTTTGGTAAATTGTCCACATTAAACACAAGAAACAACAAAAGAAAAAAAAGAAAAGAACAATAGACAAACCCACAGTTTACCAAAAAAGGAATAGGCCGAAGCAAAGCTTATTCTTGCCTGCCCTATTTTTTTACCTTACAACCTACCAGGATTTCTTCAAATTCAGATTCAAGAACATAGTACATATATACATCTACATAACAGCGTATGGTTTTATCATTTTACACATCTAGACTTTATCTGACTTTTCTCTTTTGCACATTCAAATATAAACAAACCTCGCAAATTATATTTATTTTTTCTTAACTTAAATAATTTCAGAATACCAGAAGGTATTCAGAAAACAAAGAAACAATAAAACGATATCAATAAATATTAACCATCCCCATCCCTAGATGGGGATGGTTAATATTTATCGATACTCCTTATTGATCCGAGTCTTTATCCATACCACTATCCATACTTTTCTGTTATTTGGTGGAAAGACAATGCGACAATATTTAGCAAATAAATAGTTGTATTTTAAATTAAATGTCATTTTTAATAAATGTTGGCATCAGTAGTTTAATTGTATATTCTAAAATAATTAGAGCAATATACAACTGTATTACTCATGTTTCTCGCCAAAAACTCAGTTTCCCTTTTCTTTACGCTACACTTGAACACATCATGATAACCTAATTGTCGTTTTACTGAGCCAACCTGAACACATCATCACGCAGCACGTCTGAAACTTGATTTACTTTTCAAGCTAACTAGCTTGTATGCTGCCGATTACAACACGGATTTCACAATTACTATTGTAATAATAAAAAAAAAGACCAGACTCCATAGTGGTATCGATAAGCCCAAACGGTATTGATTTTCGGGTTTTGAAAAAAGTGGAACCGGGTCCTTGATAGAACCGGGTTTCGATCCCCATCCCTAGTTACATCCTCTAGAAGATTTAACACTTTGAATAGGTTTAACTGGTCCTAAATAATGTTAGAATAGCCTGATTTGATGGTCCCAACCATCACATATTAGTATTGTTAGCATTGATGTGAATGGAAATGTTATATCTCCACTTCTCTTGCAATGAAAACTAAAGATAAACAAGTGAAATTTGGAGCTACTTTGCTCGCCTACTTTAATTTCTCCTGGGTTTTGAATCGTCAAACGTCTTTCACTCCTCTGTTTCTCTCATTTCAGCACTGTGATCCAGAGAAGCTGATCACGGAGAGCAAATTCCTTCAGCTTGAGTCGCTGCAAGAGCTGATGAAGGTTATTATTCCCTACCAACGGCATCCATCCATTAGCATCCCGTGCATGCTTCTCCATAGAAATCAAATTTCTGACTGATTCTCTGGTCTTCAGGCTTTGATATCCGTCACCCC